GGGGCATTTGTTGGGGAGATAGTGTAAATGAACACACATAAACATACACACATACTTTTAAGACCTATCAACTACAGTGAAATTGCCTGTTTATGTCTAATACGGAGTTATTGTTTGTTTGTTTTTGTAAAGTGTTTAACGACGCTCGCAACTGCATAAGGTCATATGAGCGCGCGGGACACACCTAATATTTTCAGTTGGTAGGAAATTTTGAATTTTGCCCGGGTGGCGGCCGAAGCCTACTCTTATCGATTTTAGACCACCAAGGGATCTTTAACGTGCGCAACTTGCACACGGGCCCTCCGAGATGTGTTCGCCCTTGTCCGAGAATGCTAGGTGTAGATCTTTCCTACCAGAAGATCGGGGATGTGGCAGAAAGACAGCAGTTAGAAGAAGCGAAGGAGTAGCAGTAGAAAGGCTGTAGAAAGAATCAGGAGCCCAGAAGAAGGGACAAAGGAGGTGAAGCTCTTGCTTGGGTTTGTTGGAGCAAAGAGAAGCACATCGAAACAATAATAGTAATTTAGTACTGGGGAAAAAAGACAGACAGACAGAAACAACAGAGGGAAAGCAAAGAAGTAGGACTTACCAGGGGCGCCCTCCAACCAGCTTCAATAAAATGGTACTGGTAGTTTAATTGTACCATCAACAAAAAGTACAGACATCCAAAGATACGCATTGAAACAGTGTAATAGTTGTAGATTTTTACGCACCCATCGACTCAATTTAGATCACTTAGGGGGCAGATTGCTCCGACCCTGCCTGTTTACAGGGCGAACACGTGTATAGATGGATAGATCTTCCAAACAGACAGATAGATAATATGGATTTGATTTTTCAAAAATAATACAATAAAAAGAAATAAATTAAGAATTAAAGAAAAAAGTAAATAAATAAATGAATAAATAAATGAATGAATGAACGAATGGATGAATGAACAAATAAAGAAAGAAAGAAAGAAAGAAAAAATAGATGAATGGATAAATGAATAATGAATGTTTGAATAAATAAATATTATAAATAAATATTTAAAAAAAAAAAAAATTAAATACATAAAATAAAACAAATAAAATAAAAAAATAAATAAATGAATGAACAAATAAATAAATAAATAGATAAATATATAAATAAATAAATAGGGCAGTTTCGTTAGCTCAGTTGGTACCATGCTGGTCAATGATTGGAACAGAACGTACTCAAATGAAGAATAAAAACGGTTGATTGGGAGTGGAGGTGTGGTGGTGTTGTCAGACTGGCTATGACTATGAGTAGAGACCATCGCCCCTCGACTTGAAATCGGAAAGGTTGTAGGCTTGTTTTTATAACTATCACACTATTCATTTTATCGGATTTTTATGGCTCTATGAGCATGTGTGTGTGTGTGTGTGTGTGTGTGTGTGTGTGTGTGC